CTGAGAGTTGCGGGTTCAAATACCCGTCCCACAAACATGCTCGCCCTGTCAGCCGTGGGGGCGTTATAATGTTATAGTCAATCTCACTATTCGTTGGTAAAAGAGTAGCCTAAGAGTTGGCGGTGTGTGGTGATGAGTAACTGCTTTCCCTCTAGTCTTCCACTGCTAAATTAGGGGCGGCTAGCGCAGATAGCCCTCGTGTAGCCTTGCGCTAAATTCACAAACAAACCATACATGCACTGTTAATTTGTGTTGTGTTATATAAAGTTAGTATTAATTGTGTCACACTTTTTGTTCAGTCCAGTTATTTCTTAGCATAGACTCAATTTGTATTGGTGGAATTCAGTATCACATTATATATTTCAAACCTCCCATTATATAGCAAGCTCACATAATTTACTCTTGTAGGAAATAGGTTTATCTAAAATTATCACAGAGTAGGTATGAAGGATAAATTTTGTTGCTTTGACCATAATGCTGAAGAATATTGTGTTTATAGCTAACATGTGTATTGTTCCTACTTGAACTATTTTGTTATATAGTTTACAGAAGTGATTCTTACTTATAGAATGTTATTTACTGCTTGTAAAAGCACTCATAAAAAAGAGTGACAATTTGCCACTGAAGAGAGGTGGTTATATGAGAGAGAGTTGTTGGGTCAAGAAGTACTCGCTTGGATATTAGATATTTGCTAATGTTACAAAGTTCCACGACTTTGTTCTGTCTGCAGACACAGACTAAGGAAGGTCAACCAACACTTCGTGCACCCAGAGCAGCAGATTGGGCATTACACAAGAGAATCAATTTCAGTTAAAGGGAAACACAGATGACTGAGGGTGGCTGAGATGGAATGATGTCTGATAAGTCTGAGACCATACTGAACAGTCTTTACAGGCCTCCTAGTTCATTGCAAGCCAGGGTAATACAACCGTAGCTCTGTTTAAGGACTTGCAATACCAGCCAAGAAAGTGTGAAAGTGATGCTGGTGAATCCCAAGTTAGGCTTAGTCACAGACATGAGGAAGTATGGCAGACAACTTGCACTAAAACTGTAGCAATCTAGTTATCTCAGGACTGCGTGGAGATACATATGTGTTGTGAATACAATATTGAGAAATGCTGGTAGGTCTTGCAGTATATCAGGCCCTCCAAGTGTGACAACCATTCTGAACAGTGGATTTTGACTATGTTCTGTCAAATGTCATTATGCTAAACAGGAGTGGGATATTTAGTTGTGTCTTTGGATGCACTCTGGATAACACAAACAACGTGGAAAGGCATTCTGGTTCCTAAAGCTTGTTTTAGTGAAGACTCCAATGCTTACATTCCATGACAAGGTAGTAAGTTTCTAATGGACACTGATTCCAGTGATAGTGGAACCATATAATTGTTATCACAGGTACAGGATGGAGTAGAACACGTAACCACATATTCTAGTCGTATGTTCATGGCTCCTGAATGTAGATTTTATATGACAAATGAATAAGTGCTTGTAATTGGAGTATTTGTAAAACACTGTTGACACTATTTCTGTTGTAGGAGTTTCACCATCAAGGTGGACCATGTGTTGTTTGAATGATTAATGAATCTTAAAAATCTGGTAGGATGATAGCATGGGTAACAACATTTCAAGACTATGACTTTGTTATAATTCACTGCTCATGCCTACAATATGGAAACACAGATGGGTTGTCTTGCTGCATGGTGGGACTGTCTATTCATGTGATTTCCTGATTCTAGACACTGTGGCATTTATAAAGTAAGTTACTAGTGTATGAAAGTGTGTTTTACTGTTATTATCAACCACTGAGCCATAGTTCTCGGAGCTCCAAGATGAGAAATTCTCTAGACTTTGCATAACAAAGACTGGAGGGCATCAAAATGTTACACAGACTTGTGCTAACATTCCATGGTAGTTCTACTGGTCACACTTGAGTAAAGGTGTTCAGTATTGGTATGAGCACTATACAATGTTTATTGTCCAGAGAGAGAGAATTTGCCAGGCTAAGATAACTCTAGAAGACAATTGTTAAATCTCCTCTACACTTGATAGCCCGGGATATTGTTGTCACAGTCCCAGATACTGAATGAGGTAATTGGTACATACCAATGTGGAGACTAGATCATTTGTATGAGTTAACAGCACAAAGACAGCTTGGATCTGGCTGGACAGGTTCATATCTTATGCTCCAGCAGATACATCCATTGACATGCCAGTTACAGTTGCTGTGAGGCATGTGAAAGATTATGGAGCATGTTGATTAGCTGTGTCCTTATGTTAATGATGAACTGTAAGTCTATTTATGTAATGGATATCTTCTATAGTGAAACTGCTTTATAGCTTAGAAACTAAGAATTGCAATACCCTTTCAATCCCATTAACCTTGCAATCAACAGACTGCCTTAACTTCCTGATAGTAAATTAATCAGGGCCATTTTGAACAGGGGATCATTGTCGACAAATTGGCCAACTGTCAGAACTGCCTTTTATCTCTAACTCTACTATTTTTTCACCTACATCGTTTTGGACAGCCAGATAAGTACTTTTAGCTCATTTCTCATCATTGTGTGTATCAACATGACATGAGATGGCACACCTCTTATTTTGACTCGTTGTTCTCAACCATACTCATGGTCATACCAATTTTCAGATGATAGCTGCTCAGTTATCACAGTTAAGATTACTGATGTGTGACTGAGTATGATAGCAAGGAGTTTGGAAATTAATTACAAAGGGTTTTGCAACTCTTGCTTTCTGAGCTATGAGGAGGTATTTTATGGTATAATGTAAACACTACATTTTACAATTGCCACCTGATTACCTTATAAGCTTGGATGGTCAGTTGTTGAAAAAACAACAAAAACAATGACTGAAATGGTGTTAGGACTTGCTTTCGGAGCTACTAAGTGAATTTTTGGAAGCAAAATGTTACCCAACATTTCAAAAGAGTCACTCACTTGAATGGCAAGAACTCTACAGAGTATGACATATGGTTCCCACTACTGTTATAAGCTACTAGAGTATGTGACATTGTGCAATAGCAGTTTATGTGTATAGCAATAAACATATATATATAAATATATACTTAAAGGAACATTACATGAAGTCGTTACATGGGTATTGTGTAACAAACAGATCAATTACGTAAAGAACACAATAGTTAAACAACATCTGAATGGAAACAAAAGATTTGATCTAGATGTTAATACTATGATACGAAGTGAACTGTGGTTTTTGACCTAGAAGATATTTATGAAGATGAAGTACACCTATTATTTTCATTAATACTAGTGCAAAACTGTTTAGGTTTTGACATTGTAATATTTGGTAGGTAGTGAATTTTCATGGAAGGATAATAGTAACAAAGTAATTCATACTATGTATCAGAGAAATACAATTTTACCTGGTGTTTTTTGGTAAGAGCAGTGCAGAATATTTTGATTGGATTGGATCGAAATATTTGTGAGTGGTTGAAATCATCAGAAGTAAACATAGTAGCTTAGATATCATATCAAATGAAAACATCATGTGATATTTTCAATCATATATATTGAAATATTTCATAAACCCATAGCTTTATAAATATTTTCTTACCATTTTTTCAGTACAAATGAAGTTATAACACATGTAATTGTAGACTGTGAGAGTAATGTCGAAGGTAGAAAGTAACACCTGCATGGTGCAACTGTAAGTCACACAAAGCTAGTACCAAACTTATAATTGCAAGTCCTTAAGAAAAGACAATGCAAATGTTAGTGAAGTATAATGGTCAGAAGTAAGGGATGATGTTGCTTAACCCAGATCAGCTTGTGTGTAGTAACCAGTTTTGCAATTTCATCCTGCTTCCTTTCCTATTGGAACCTGTCAGTGAAAGAAAGATTAAATGAGAGAGCAATGGAAATAACTGTTGTTGATCTCAGGGGAGCCAAGCCTCCAAGCAGTCCATCAGTAGACAACTCTGGAAATGATTCCTGTGAAAGCAAAGTCAGCTACTTCGTTTACAAAGCACTGACACCCGCTTTTGAAAGGTCCCATCAGAGTGTGCAAACATGTCTAAACACTGATGGTCCCAGATGCATGTACACCTCCAGTATGAACATTATATCCATAAACCAAAGAAAACATATTTGGAGTTTAAATTATCACGAGGGTCAACTCTGGGAGGATTAGGCGGGATGGCACCTGCCACCTCTGGAGTCACGAACACCAGGCCCAATACCATGACTACGACTACTGTGGCAGTCCAAAGTAGCTAACTGACTTGTGGACTTACTTCATCACTGCCAAAAATGGAGTTTGTGTGTGTGTCAAGGAGCAATTGCCTGTGGGTAATTAATATGTAAATAAGTATTTCAAAGGGACAACATGCTTAGACTTGATCCATTGGCCTATACATTAAATAAAGAGAGTAAACATTTTTCCATGAAACAGAATGGTAACTGGACTAGCTTAATAAATAACTGGGAGATAAAAAATATAAAACACATTAAAGCACAACTGTATCTTTCCACTGCATATATTCATCTATTTTATACATTATTGTACTCTGGTGTATAAAATACACATAAAGTAGAAGACTAAGATCATTTGACGTCTGAGGATACATAGTTATCAACCAACAATGCAGCCTCCAGGGAGCACAGCCATATTGGTTGGTGTCACATTCGCCAACATGTCACAGTCATGTTGGATATTTTCACATCCACCAAATTTGCAGCCCCGTTGGGAACAGCCTACTGAATTATGTCATAAACCCCAGAGATTATTAATGAACTGATTAATTGTATTATATACTTAACCCCAAGCAAAGATAATAATAATAATAAATAAATAATAATAACAAATCCTCAGGCATTTGGTACAGTGTTTTTCATGTGGCGTAAAATATATGTTTTTGCTATCACATTTTTTATTGGTAATTTAACTCTTAAAAATAATAATTTCATTAAATTATTTGAATAGAGGAGACAAAGACTGGATTTCTAAAAATCTTTTTCTGGTAAAGGCTTACATCAGTGAGCGATATATGTATTTCAACCACAGGTTGTTGATTTTAACTTTTTTGTTAATTTTTATAAATTCAATTAGAATTCTCTTCTTTTCAGACTCATGTTTTCATCATCAGATTTATCAGGGCTTTCTCCGCCGTATTTTGCCCATTTCCATCTTTTCTCTAATTCTTGAAGACGTCGTCTCATTCGATCTTGATAGGATTGGTATTCTGCCAAGAGATGAGAAAATCTTGTCTGTAGATTGTCTAAATCTTCTTCTAAATTATTATATTTCTCCTCTAGAGTCCGCTGTTCTGCTTCACTCTCCTGTAGCGCCTGCTCATCCAGAAGTCCATCTTTCATAAGAATCTGTCGCCCACGTTCAATTAGCATCTTTCTAGCCTCTGGATATTCTTCGAGAACATTCCAGAGATCTTCTTTCGATAGAACGAACAGGTCCGAGTAACCTACACTTCTTACGTTTGCTGTTCTTCGATTACCAGTTTTCATACCGGAAATATTCATAATACTTAGCTCACCAAAAACACTACCATTTTCTAACGTGGCAAAAACCGTTTGTCCGTCATCAGCGACGACTTCTAATTTACCCCTTTTCACAATGTACATTTCTTTCCCCACATCTCCTTTGCGACAGATGTAGTCTCCTGGGCTGAACACTTGAAGTTTCAACTTAAGAACTAACTGAGCCATAAGACCAGCTTCACAATCTTGAAAAATTCGAACACGTTTTAACGTGTCAAGGTGGACGTGGAGAGCGATTTCTGCCTCTAGTTTGTCCGGCAGCATTGAGGTAACAGCCTCCTCGTCTGTTGTTTGTTTGTTAGTCCATAAATAATCAAACCACTTGATTACCTTGTCTTCGAGTTCTTTCCCGATCTTTCTGAACTCCATGTATTGCTTTACACTGTCAATTCGACTTTGGAACTCTACTCTGGCTGCGTTCATATTTGTTATCATACTTCCAATGTTTCCAACAATGGTTGCAAAGATAAGAACTCCGATTAAAAAGTCTAAAACCATAAATAAGTACTCAACATCTCTCTGTGGAGTAGAAACTTCGCCGATCGTTGTCATGGTTAAAGTTGACCAGTAGAAACTGTAGATGTACTGATATTGAAACGTGTCGTGGCCAGGATGACTAATGTTGTACACCCAAGTGTCTGTTCCAAATCCAATGAAGTAGCTAACAGAAAAGTAAATGCATGCATTCCAGTGAATGATAACTAGAATATAAAAGATTAATTTCCCAATTCTAAAAAAGTAAGGGAAACTAGTTCTTGTTTCTGTGCGATCGAAGAATTCGAACATTCTATGCAAGCGAAACATTCTGTTCAGACGTACTATCGTTGAACAAGGAACTATCATATTACAATTGGTACCGAGAATCGTGTACAAAACATCGGTGGGAATGATGCTGGCCACATCAAATTTAAAATATGACGACCTCACATAGTTCGTTAATAACTTCATGGAGTCTTCTACAAGTAGTCCTTGTTCTAGATATCCTGAAAACCCAAATAATTGGAAAATTAAGAATAATATATTTTTCCGAGGATAAGCTTCTAATTATAGCCAGTCCATAGTCTAAAAACTTTCATAGATAACTACAGTCCATAGTCTAAAAACTTTCATAGATAACTACAGTCCATAGTCTAAAAACTTTCATTCTAGTTATTTTTGTTTTTGTATGTCATCCTCTTTTTGTTGCAGATAAATAATAGTTATGTAACAGCAAGGTGCAAGAAAACATTAAGATTGTCAATACTGCCCAACGTCCAGCGATTGGAAACAAGATACTTATGGCTTGGTCTTGCATGCTTAATATATATATATATATATATACTCTAATCACACTTCAGCATTCTTGGGTAAAATTACTGTATAAAATATGTAACTGTGAAATTCCCACCAGTTAATTGAAACTAATTTAGCTTTGTACGTATAATTTATATATTTTTTATGGAACAAATAACAATAGATTTAGAATTAAAAATCTATACGTACAAAAATTTATGGTTATGAATTTGAAATATTTAGAACTTGCGAAAACAAACATCTTGAATTTTTATAAAGGCATACGCCATTGATCCTATCACAACTTTTCAACAATGCAGAAACAAAGGGAGATTAAGCTTGGCATATAAATTTACTATTACTGTTTTCAATCAAAGAATGAAATTGTATTACAGATTAGTATAATAAAAAAAAAATAATAAAAATATTGTTTAAGAATGAATTAAGAGAATGCAACCACAGCGCAGAGAAATATAACGGTTCTACTTGTAAATTATATTGAGTAACTTGAATGTATTATTATATAAAATAATGGCACAGCGGTATGGCTGGGGACTTACAATGCTAGAAACCGGGTTTCGATACTCGTGGTGGGCAGAGCACAGTTAACCCATTGTGTAGCTTTGTGCTTAATTACAAACAAAACATCCTCTTTTTAATAGATACACTTTTACAGTAAAAATATCACTGTATATACGTTTAAAATCTCAAAGATGTTCGTTTCTGTTAACGATAACTGAAGAGACAAAATTACGGATGCTTACCTGTTCGTGCCTGAAACACCATATCGAGGATATAAATAGTGTCACATGTGTAGTCCAGAGTATACCACCCAATAGGAGAGAAATTCTGAAGTTCCCAAAACACGCTTCTTCCGATGATAAACACAGTATTGTAGAGTACGGCAAAGGAAATAATGGACAGCCAACGGTAATGGACTTTTCCAGAATAGTCAACGACTAGCCTTCGATGACTGCAAATATTTCGAAATATTTGTTTATGTTTCAAAAATTAATAAACTTTTATCGTGCGAATAATAAATCAAAATTATTTCTGTAACTAAAACATAATCCAACTGAATTAATGTAGAACTTGATGTTTTACATTAGCTCTAAATAGATCGAAATGATGTAATTAAAACACTCATGTTTTAATATTTAAGTTATTTAAGCGTTTCATTTCCGAATGAGGGTTGGCAAGGAAGGACCTTGTTGTTAGTCTGCCGGACAATGAATCCGAGGGTTCGTAGTTTAAGGCCCGTTGCTGTAAAAGCGCGCCTCGTACTTTTGAGCCGTGGATGCATTACAGAAGTAACGTTCGAATTCCACTATTCGGTTAGACAAGAGTATCCCAAGCGTTCGTGGTGAGTACTGTTGACTAGCTGCCTTCCTTCCAGTATATAAGTTCAAAATTATGAATGATTAGCGTAGCATATCTAAAACTAAACGTCGAATGATTATGTTAACATACATTTTTTTTTGTCATTTTACTATCATAAAGTGTTTATATTCTGTACACGGCCTAGTTTTTCATATAATAATCCTGAATGAGATTCAGAAGAAACAACATTTACAAATTTTCTCAGCTTTCGCCGACAACATTTGCTTCAATAGTTTCTTTTTTTTTCTCAGCAATGAAAGATATAGAGAATTAAAAAGGAATTACATTTTGTCTATTAGTAAACTTTATTTTAGAATTACCAAGCTTTATTTCTCAAAAGCAAATTGTTTTCAAACAAAAATATACAACTCTAGATGGAATATTTCTGAGAACCGAATTGCTTCATTACAGAAAGTGATGGGATAAGTTCCATTTCACAAAGTCTTTAGTTTTAAGATGAGTTTTGTTATCACGCAAGACATAACTACGACACGAAAAACTAGACTTTATTGACATCCTAGATAAACTATTTACGAAGATATAAAGACCAGAAAACGAACAGCTGGTTTTATCTCTTACACGAATGTTTTCTGTGAGAGTTATTCACTTTTAGTGTCCTTAATTCATTGCCTGGCTGTATAAACAAGTACACTAGCAATTAATAATTTCTTGCACTAGTATTCAGTGCGAAAATGAATTCTCGATTTAATTTAAATGTATTAATGTTTTGCGACAACACTCGTATGTCTTCAGATTACCTAGTTACTGATTAGACTATAAAATGCTAAATTTTGTTAATATACCTTGTATTCGTACCAATCCAGTTCTGATGGCGTAATGAGGGTGTCGGGGGCAAAACGTATTTTGGCGCCTCCACAAAAAAACATAAATCCCAATCCCACCCGTCCTTTACACCCTTACTTTCCAACTTCAAACTGACTCAGTTGCTCCTTCCATGGCTGCCAGACGTATGAAAGTTATAGTTTATTTTTCATGAATCATTAGCTAATTAAGATCTCTGGTTTGCATAACGATATGTTGCATATTATATTGTACATTAACATAAAAATTCAACACAACTCTCATGATAGGTATTATTTTTATAGGACGAATAAATCTGAGATAAAATTATTTGGTCCGCCAAAAATTCGTCGACAGCTTGAAAAGTAACTCCCCAAATTGTCAGGTGCTACCACAATTACTAAATTTCCTATCAGTTATGAGATGCCAGTGTATTTTAATCAATCTAACACTGAAGACCAAAGGATTTTCCTAGTCATGATATTTATGATGGTATACTAATATTTGATGTCAAGCATAACAAAAACAATTTAATAATCTTAGTCTTATGAGAACAGCTAAATTCTGGGTAAACTGGTTGTTAATTTGGCGCCCCCGAACCTGGTGCCTGGGAGCAAATACACCCCCCTCACTACGCCACTGCCCAGTTCACTTCGATCAGCTAACGCGCACTTGTTTAGGGTTTTCTAAGGTGTCTCACAACTGTAGAATTTCTAATAATCAAAAATATCAGGCAGAAGAACTTTTTTAAAAGAACATTCTAACGTATAGGTTATATTATTATGTTTTAAAGTGTACGACCCCTAATGTCATATATATAAACTGTTTTTAATATTAGGACGAATACTTTAAAATGAAACACGATTAATAATGTTGATTTTGATTCTATAAATGAGGGATTTTTCAACCGTTTCCATCTCTGGACTGAACTTATCTACGTAATCCAAAATAAAATTGATACTTTCTGTGCCCATATGTTAATCGACATCATACATGTGTTTCTGGGAAGCCTGTTTTGTTTAATCTGACTAAAGATCTTTGTGGTACCAAAAGCCATCCAGAAAGATAATAATTTTCTTGAACATATATTATGATGACAGAAAAGTATAAGATGGTACAATCACGGCATAGCCGCAACATGAAAGAAAATCATATTAAAATATTGTAAGATAAATACTCAGTATTTTCTACAAGCGAATAAAAACTGGATAAGTTTAGATTGTGATTGGTAGGAGCGTAAGGAACAAGTTTCTAACTTTATTCTGCGGTGCTAAGTTGCTTTAATTCGTAGGTAAAGTTTGAATGCGAAATGTAATACTATTTTGAGGAACATGTTTAACTAGTGCAAATTCTAGATAATGTGTGCACTTAATTTGCATATATCTCTTGGATACTTGATTTTTATTCACATTCATCCGTTTAGAAACACTTAATGAACAAAATAAGACCCGATTTTTTTTTGCCAACACACTATACACACAATGCAAGAATGATTTTTTGGTGTGAAACAAAACCGCAATAATTCTTTGAAAAAAAATAATTTGTTTAAAAACATTTATGATTGTACTCAAAAGCTTTCACCAACGCAAAAGAATGTTAAATATAATATCCATATAATTAAAAAGTACGAAAATTGGTTACGAACAAAGTAAAGTTGATTAGGATCACATTGACCCTAATCTAATAGTTAGTAGTTAGTTATTTTCATAAATGTGTGTAAACTGTATACTATAATCTATACTTTAATAACTTAATATAAATATAACTTAGCCGTATTTACAAATTGTTATTATTTCAGTTTTTGTGTAGGGAACCAAAAGTCTGCACTTCCATCTATGTCACTCAACATTTGGTTGAAAGGCTCTTGGAACTGCCCAGTTGAAAGTTTCTTGTTTCTTTTTTACAGTTAAGCACAAAGCTACATAACGGACTATCTGTGCTCTGCCCACCACGGGTATCAAACCCTTGTTTATAGTGTTGTAAGTCCGAAGACATGCCACTGGGGGGCCAGGTGTAAGTTGTCTTATGTGTTATCTGCTAATTTGCATCGGGGCAAGAAATTTCATGTTGAAAGTAGCTCCACGTGCAATGTGAGTACGGTAGCTTTTAAAATGATGCAAAGACTAGGATATCCTGGATCTGACTGACTACACTTTTGTCGCTTTTATTGTTGTCAGAATTAAATTTTCCGTTTAGAAGAGATTGAATCCAGTAACTGAAGAGAAAGGTCATATAAACGTTTTGTTTAATTTGATCCATACTGTTACACAACCGTTCTGTTTTGCTTGTACTTCTTATTTTTCTTTCAAGCAGCGATTTACTTTCATTTTTGCAATTTCCATCATTTTCTTTAGCGTCAATCAATTACTTCTGTATTGTTATCTTCAATTAGCTGTTGATCGTGATTTCCACAAGCTAAGTCCAGTTTCTTAATTTATCTTCAGTTATCAATTATTACAATTGGCGAATAAAGTGTATTTGCTTTTGATACATGAAACTTTGCCTCATTGCTTACTTAAACTACCTCACGTAAATATATTGCGACCTGTACGATTTATAAATCAAAGTAACTGTCAGGAATTGGATTGGGCAACAAGTCAGGAGCAATTTTAGCCGAATAGCAGGATTGTTTGTCACATTTATTAGGGGGTTCACAGTTGAAAGTGCGGCGTATGTTCAACGTCATATTGCGGATTTGACCTTTCCACTTGGCCATGTCCGGTCGAACGTTTAGTGTTTTGTTACCAGGTGTAAGTACTAATATATATATATTTTTCATATGTACAAAGTTATCATTGTAAGGAAATAGCCATTGAAAGCATTATTTATTTAGGATAGGTAGTGCGATGCAACTTTACAAGGACAATACTAATAACTTCCACTACTTTGTTCTGAAATGGTTCAATACGGGTTTCCAATAAGAATCGTGCAGTAATCGCTTTTCAACAACATCCTTCCCCAAGAGACATTTTGCTTAACATGAAAAATTTATTTGTATTTGATAACAGCACTCAAACCACTTTAGTGAAAATACTATTTCTACAAGTCAGTTTAGGAAAATTATTTATTAGCGTAAAACTTTAAGATTGGTATGACACTAACTCTCTTCGCTTTCTGTTGTAAAGAGCACTTTATTGCATTCTGTACTGCACATGAATAGAAGTAAATGCAAAAATATATTAAACTTCAAGGCTTGGACAAAAATATTTCTTAAACATACATTATGCCTAAACTGACATGATAAGCTTAGATAAACTTCATAGCCTAGTGACATACTTTCAGAAATGTCATTTCATTTTCATATTTTTTCTTTCTCAATTGCGCACCCACTTCATACTAATAAAGAAAAATAAAGCTCTTGAACAGCATACCCTCCAGTTTAACTTTTTAAAAATAGCTTATATAATCTGTCGTGACTTTGATTTTGACAATGGCATTTTTATTACTTATGGTCTTAAAGTTTTCTTTGTTTGTTGTTAAGCCCAAAGCTATATAACGGGGTATATGTGTTATGCGCACCATTCTAATCTTCAAATTCAGTATCTACAACTTACTTTTCCCATTTTATATTTGCTAATGTTTGGTTTTTATTTACTTTTATTTCCTAATAACAATTATTATACTTTAAAAAATATTGCCAACTTTGAATGTTATATATATATATATTATCATTTGTTTGAGGAATTCCTATATATCAAGACCATACCTAATAACGTTTCATGTAAGTTACACAATATGGTGTATGGGTTTGAAGCTGTAATCGTGATACACCTATAAACGTGAATTTTATAT